GCGAAATTGCAGGTAGTGGTTTTGGTTACCATACTTGTAAAAAGTGTTCCAGACCCTATCGATCTACCTAGGTCTTTATTCAAAGTTTCATGGAGTTGGCGGACCTTCCCGGTAAGACGATTTTCGGCATTAGGACGAGCATTTTGGCGTTACAGGTTTGGAAAACATCTTTCCACAGAAATCAGTAGATTCACTGACCTCCGATCTCCTTCGTCTCAGACTCGCTAAGGACAAAAATCCTCAACTCTTGACCCACAGTGATACCTTGGGGCGCTACTAGCCTTGGGGTGGGGGAGGTATTCATGTGAATTCTTTTCAAGATACCGAGCACTGTGGTGCTAATAGCCTTGGAAGTGGGGATCGGACATTTTTGTGTATTCCTGTGAAGATAGCGAGTTCTCTAGTCCTTTGAACTGTCAACCATATCAGCACCCTGTAACCCTGTCAGCTTTGTCAAATAAGTTCTAAGAAAATCGTTAGAAGAAGCTGAATATTGGAAAAAGTCTCAACCCCAAGCGAAACTTGAGCTCGCACTTCTTGCTCTCCCAGCGAGTGCGCTAAAAGGTACGGCACCAGAGCGGTTTTTGCCCTCTCGTGGTCACCTCAATGTCTCTTGTGTCAGCTTTACAACAGCCACACGTTTAACGCGATGAATCGGTACCTAGAAAGTTAAAGGTAGTGGGAACAAACGATTATAACTATGGGGCAGGTGAAGTACTTTCCATGAAATCCTGTCCAAAGCTGCTTCCCTTAGGAATCTTCGTCCCCACAGCCAGTGGCTGAGCAGTATTCATGTTCGTTGTTAAGAGAACTTCATAGAGCTCGGTATGTCGACAACAACTCACACAAATATCCCCCCCTCCAACAAGCCAATGAGTGTCAAGCGTTGTAGTTGTGGCGAAATAGGCGCTGCAAGCTGGGTGACGTATGCAACATCCGCATCAGGAACTAACCTGCTTAATATGGCAGCGGTACAAAACGCCGACTTCACCTTACGTCAACTCGCACAGCCATGTCGAAACTGGAAAAGTAACGCTCCACATCCCAAGTTGAAAGCTTTTTTCTTTGCGCCTCCCGGTTCTAAAAGCACCCCTCCCCTCACTCCTCACGTCGCATGACACCCCTCCCCTCTCCCCTTTTCAATCTTGAATCTTCAACAAGTTCTCTAATGTTTCCAACTTCCTACCACTTTTTGAATTTTTCCTCGGAAACTCTGCTTTTTTTCTCATGAAAACTACCGCCGGGCGGGAGTGAGCGAGAGAGAGGAAGGGGTTGTGGGGGGGGGGAAATAGCATACAACGAGAAACAAAAACTAGAAGTCAGCAATCCGAAGCCTTCCCGTTAGAAACAAGTGCAGCCAAATACGAGCCCCAACGTGCCCCCCGCCTCTGGACCAGTACTGTTCTATAACAGCGTCAACAACCTGCTTCCACCTTTTCCATTCCAAAAAACTCACCGAGGATCGTCACAAAAAACTCTAGAAACTTCAGGAATCCTCGTTCAGCAGGCATGTGGCGCTTGGATTTCGAACTAGCTAATCTCCTCGATAGCCAACATGGGTGATGAAAGTATACGGTTCGTTAGCGGCCGCACCTGAACGCTCTACTCCTACGGCGAGTAACAAACTGTAGAAGTACTCAAACGCCCCAAGGTCGCATTTCACAATTTCCGACTCACAATCATCAACGTAATCGAAAGATTTAATAAGTACGTAATATGTAGCATTCAACTACAAAGCATGACTAAAATGGAATACAGTAACAGTACATAAAATTAGAGAGTTGAAAAATGAATAAAGCCATAACCCGGTCTATGGAGCAAGAAAAAAAATATATGCATTGAAACTTAATATTTAGAATATAAATGTCATATCACTGAAGGAAGAGGTATATTAATGTGTCACCAATGGTAAAAAGGACAACCGGGAAGAGATTTTTCAAGCGGGCAAGCAATTAAAAGCCGTACTTAGCAGAAAAAAACAACAGAAATAATATGCTGGACTCATTTCAGACAAATAACCCGTCGATAAAAAATAAGAGGCGAGGAAAAAAGACAATACGCGACCAAGCAGAGAAACAAGCATTCGAAAACGAAGGAAACACCGTCTTTCAAACTACGTTACGTATCGCGTCTCATATTATGACTACAGCGAGAACAACTAGAAATTGTGGAGAAAATAAGGCAAACACATATTTTCGCAGATATGCTCAAAACATAAGATGAACCTGCTCACAAACCCTCTTTTCGAAGCCCGTTAGAAGCAATATGAACTGAGGATTGCATCAATTCTTGCAATTCAGGGATCATATGAGCGGTTTTATTCAGCGGGTACGTATTTGCAAGACAGAGTGCGTGGTCACGTATGTCTCCCCATCCGCCATTTTCTTTCGAAGGCTTCGGAGACCGTAATGATACCTGTAATACATTTGTCTTGACAAATATCCAACATCGTCGCGTATCCGTCATCATCGTGGTTAAAGTCTGCTTCGCCATGGATGCTGTGGCGTGTCAGGGGTTGGGTAGAGGCGCCACAAATTGTTGTCCCCCCCCCGCTATGCTCCGGCTTGAAACATTTGTGGAGCACATAGCTGGCGCCGCGCGCAAACCAACCCTTCTATGCCGCGCTTGCAGCAATTTGCAAGCGAAGCACAGACTGTAATACTGATTTTTCGCTTTGAACCGAACACAAGTCTTCAGGGGCAATCAGGATGACAAAAACTTGAGAGTACCCGCTTTTTTCGTGCCTTCTCTTTTACATGATCTACAACGCGTGCGAGAAACAAGGGCGGATTTTTGCGGCTGCCGCCCTGCATTTATTCAAACCATTAGAACTTTGTCCATTCGCGGCGCAAAACCGTCTAAAAGAAGGTGTCTTGGCACGTCAACGCAACCCCCGCCTGTTTGCTAGCAGGTATCTTGGGACTAAGGGAAGCTGAGACGGGACCTAGTGAGAAGTAAGAAAATTCCCAAACGTCTTACCCCCCCCTCACGCCCGCCGCCTCATGCTTTTAGTTAACTGAAATTCCAAAATTCCGCGAACAGGGTACGGCTTACCATTCACAAAGGCAAAAACGGGCAACGAAATAGCAAACGTTAAAGAGTAAAGTAAAAATCATATCAGTTAACTGCACATGCCAGTAAACATCGCTTGACGAGGAAACAAGACATTTGACAGTCTATGCGGTTCATGTAATTTTGGAAGTTTGACAAACTTCGATGGCTGCCCTTATCTGATGCCGTCGCAATCAGAGGGGGCGGTGTCCAGAAGGCGTGGAATAAGCCCACCTTGGCTGCATTTTCTATCGATGGTGATCGATTCAGGAAGAAAACAACCATAGAAAACGCCGCGAGTGGGGTCATCCACGGGTCTCCTGACAATGCCCCTCTGACTGAGTAGATAACGATAAAAGAAAAGTCTAAGTCGTTTACATATTCGACTTTTGGGAAGGCGGTACGCCATTCTGTTAGCCGAGTCAGCAACCGTAGCTTTGAATGCAAAGTTGCCCGAAGCTCCAATGACTTTCGAGCAACAAGTAATTGTCTTAACTTCCAAGAGAAATTTAGAATTAATTCATCGTCCCGGAGAGTAGAAGGCTTGGTTGGTCTGGTGCGGGGGCCTTGTACGAAGATTTGATTCGTCGTCCGGACCGGGGGGCGGGTGATAGCCTGGCGTGCCACTTGTCACTGCACCACCTCCGCCTCACTGCGGCAATATTAACTGCAACTTGCAACGCAGAGGTCCGAAAAGGTCATAAACGCCTTACTGAAGCGTACTGTTCTAAGAACATTCAAAAACGGAAAAAAAGAAAAATACGTACATCGGTGACGGTGAGCCGTAATGGAAAGAAGGATTTTGCGTGTTTTGCCAAGACCGCTCGTGTTGATGTATACGTGTCGTGGGCATTGCATCTGAAATTTTTAGGTTCAGAATTTCGGAAGAAAGCAAACAACTGAAAGAGACAATGCTAGACGACCAAGCATTATCACCTGTGCGGCGTATGAAGAGCCACAATCGCCAATATGGATAACTCTAGGACTTTTTGTGAATATCACTCGGAAGCGTTGTGGGAGGCATCGTACAACGACCTATAAGAGGCATTTATACAGTCAAAATAAGCTTGATAAGACAACTCGTACCTGCATCAGTGACCAGTCCCAGTTGTAGTCATCATAATTGCAGAAGAGCTAAAACCAAGAGATATCAAAAAGACAAACATATAAATTCGCCAAGACGTGCGTTTACACTTCGCGATTTGATGCGGTTGGATACCACAGCGATCTGCATGCGAAAAGGTATGAACACGGCTCTGCAGTTTGCCAAAGGGGACGGGCGATCGAGCTCGGAGAATGACCGGGAAAAGCAATCGCATCGATTTGGAGAGTGCATGTTTTGGGAGGAGCGACAAATTGTTTAGATCAATTTCTATCTATTCCCCTGTCCCCAATACCCACGAATCGCAGATTCTCCGGACCAATTATACTTTTTTTCGGGCATCACGGAGACCAAATCGCCTGAGTCACGGATTCTTCACCTTTTCAATCGCCTACAAAAAACGCAGAAAATGTCACAGATTCTTCACCTTTTCAAACTGCAAAGGCAGTCATAGTTTCGGAGTGGACTGAAGATGTTGGTGGGGAATGAAGCGAAAGGTAGTACAATGGCAAGATAGTAAGGCAGAAGTACCAGTATTTCCCTAGGCGCACGTATTTTCCTTTCATCTCACCCCAGAAAACCAGATAATTTATGGTTGTAAATTAAAATAAATAAATAAATAAATAAATAAATAAATAAATATCCGACGCACGGCACAACCTGCGTTGGGATCCCTATCGAAGGGGTTCGTATTTGGTCGCTGGAGGAAGGGAGGGGGTCGTAGCTGTCTCTATGGAGGATGTTTTCGGTTGTTGATTTTTCTCGGCTTTATACGGTTCACGTGCTCGGGAAAAAAAACTGGAGAGCTCTGGGAGAAGAAGTTCCCGGAAAATCGGAAGGATGGCAGGAATTTCAGAAAGTTTGGGAAATTCAGGGAGGTTTACGTAGGATGGGTACGGGGTTGTACCAAAGGAAATTTCAAGGGAGGGGGGTGCGAAATTCTTCCTCGACAGGACGCAGGACGTGTCGTGAACCCAGGACACGATAGCCTGCAGAGGGTTAAAAGCTTGTGACCCGATGGTAGAAAACAATCGTAAAAAAGCAGTTGGAAACAATTATACTTACTTCAGCACAGGCTTTCACTTTCATCCAAGTCTCACGTCGAAAGGCCATTCCCATATTATGCTTCGAGCTATACCAAGGATGCGCTCCAAGTTTTGCAATATTTGGTCCATAAGCTGTGAACGATTTAAGGTAGAAACCCAACGAGATGATTTCACATTTCTCGCAGTACCTTAAAAGACCTCTGTTAAGAAAAAAAACGAAAAATCGGAAAAGTAAACCAAGTACTGAATTCTAAAGAACAACGTATTTAGTTCTGTGATAGATTTCCCTGCCGATTCCCTCAACAAACTTCCAAAATGAGCCTCCTACGAGCATAAAGGGCCCTAGATAGCAACAGAATATTGGCAGTACTTGGACGTCGGGTCGGGCAAGTCGCTATGTGAATGTAGAGGCCCCAAATTCTGCCCCAGTACGTCACAGGATAACATGAGCACACAGGCGAATATCACACATGCAAACTTGATACTAAGGTGGATGTGGTGAGCTTTCGATCCAACAAATACTTAATAGAACCTACGTTTCTCTATTCGCTATGATATTATGCAGAACATGTAGTGCATCTGGTACAACATAGTGATCTTCTTCAAGCAAAAGGACCCATGCATCAGTGAGACCGTATCGATCGAACACTCCGTCAAAGACGTAATTCATCTAAATTATAGC